GTAGTAGACTAAGGACACTAAGTATAGTAATAGAAGACAAATATATTTAAAATTATAGTATAACTACGTAGAAGTACCTACAAAGAATAAAATATAGAGGAGTAGGTATAAAAATGTACCTATATAGTATGAAATAATCGATCTATGCTTTGGTACTACAAAGCGTGATTTATCTTTAATCATTATAAAAGTTCAGCCTACTAGTTATATTACTACCTTCCTTCCGATGTTTGAAAGGGTTCCGGAGTCGTGAATCCGAGAATGGTGACGAAATCAATAACTAAAGAAAGATATAATTATATTGCCTGCCCACGGTGTTGGAACGCTAAGGTGTATACTTATGGATAACCTCACGTGAACCTGGAGTCGTTGGACGGCAATCAAAATTTAATTAAGATAAAGTAGTTTAATCAATTAACATTTAGCACCTGTGTGCACTCAGATAAACAATGGTAATTTTTAAATTAGGAAAATAAAAAATTGAATTACAAATTAAATTAATAAATAAATCGAACACGAGTGATCATAGCTGCTAAAAGTCGGAGCTAGCTATTCGAGAGAGATCCTCGAAAGAAATTGGTGGAGCGTAGTTGTTGCTGTGTGCAGGATTCTTGACAGAGTGTTCGTCTTGGGATTTCTCGAGGGATCGAGAAGCTTCATTTTCAATTGAAAAAACCGTTACATTTTATGTGTTTAAATAAGCCAAAAAAAAGTTCAACCATAAAAAAAAAATTGTGTTATATGTTGCTTTGAAATTTGTATTGAAATAATTATAATGGTATATAGTGCGAAAGAATGATGACGGCACGGCGGTATCATCAAAGGGCCGATTGATGTGTATCTATTGCTTAATTTTATTTGACTTATATTTAAATGTTCTAAATGCAGGTAATGGATCGGATATGGATTGTTCACAAATGATATCGCGTCGATGTCGATATAAAATAATTAGTAATCGAATTGTGAAAACAAGATAATATACAATAGTATGACTGAGGCGGCAGTGTCCTCAAAGGGCCGTAGCAGATGGCAAGCAGTTCTATAATATTTGACAAATATTTAAATTATTTTGCTTGTAGATAAGCTTGTATCCCTCTCAAATAGCGAAAGATCCGTTAAATTTATTAAACTATTTACCTTTTGTAAAATACCAAGTACTCGGCCATATTTGAATCTTTTAGTTACATTTTTGTAATGATATAAATAATAAATAATTATACAGTTATAATTAGAGACCGGATTTGTATGCATTTTAAATTGTAAAATATGCATGCAAACATGCACTAAAAAAAGGCAAGATATGCAAGAAAAAAAAGCAAAACATGCATAATAAAGTTTAAAACTTTATTTTTTATTTAAATTTTACAGTGATAATTAATTATTAATTTTATTAAAATTTCCATAAACAAAAAAAGTAAAGAAGTAGATATTGATATATAACGGGGAAAAATAACAACAAATTTAATGTAGTAGGCATGTTAATTGGAAAAACAATAAGTTATCAAAGTGCGTTCCATGTTTATTTCTGTAAAATTATGACGACGATCTGTAAGGATGTACTTGTAAGAAGAAAAACTGCGTTCAACGTCAACACTGGTTATTAGTGCATATTTAAAATTAGCTAATACATCCGGTGAATAATTTGGAACAGACAAATCTTTGAAGTTAGCATTGTCACCTTGAAGTATTTTTGAAATTTCTTTTCAAACCATTAGTCTTTTATTTTTATCGAAAACATATTTAAATTTTGTTTTAATTATTGTACTATTTGCGCTCGTAGGANAAAGCTCTTTGATCCTTTTAACGATACGTGGAAAATGTGCTTTAATGTAAGCAAGATCATGTTTTACATTTAATTTATTTAAAATTGATTTATAATTTGTAATGTTTTTTATTTTATCATCTAAGTTTTCAATTACATTTTTAAACTCTTCAAAAAGATCTGCATAATAAAAGGCTGACTCTAGCTAAGCACCCCAACGGGTAATTATAGGCTGTGGTGATAAAGGAGTGTTTGGCAATATTTCATATAACTGAATTCTATACGGAGCTATTGAAAAAACCTTTTTTCCATTATTAATTAAATTGATAACATCAACAAAACTTTGTCATCATTGCTACCTTCGGCCACAATAGTGTTAATGAATTGTTTACAAATGGTTCTATAGTTGAATTATTGGTTTTTTCGAGAACTTTTGATGTTAAAAGATACGATTTAGAAGGCAGATCGGCATTCAATTTGCCAACAACGAAATTTGCTACATACTCTTCTCTAGGATTAGTAATTTCATCAACTGCAAAAAAAAAAATGTAAGAGCTGCCTAGATATTCTCGAATATTTTATAAAACGTCAATATAACATTTACTTAAATAGTTTTTTCTTAACGTACTTTCATCTGATAATTTTATTTGTGTACTTTTCCAAAAAATTATAAAAAATTCCAAAAAATAATTATGATTTTTTGCAGTAGTGGTAACAAATTTGTAAGTTGTAATACTTTATTATTACTTTAATAGTTAATAGCAATAAAATAATTCTATACGCTATGTGTAATACGATTTTATGCACCTTCGCATCATTAAGTATTACTACAAATGAGAATATAGGAAGATTAATGCAAATCTACTGGCGGAATAGTACTTAAAAATGTGGGTAGTTGCCAATTCGCCTCTTTTTCCTTATTACTTGAATGTGCTGTTAAAAACAAATTATTCTACGCTATAAACTCATCAAACTATGAATTATATTTGTACACACTATTGTTCTATGCAAAAAAGCAAAACAATTAAGTACATTTATTAATAATAACAAAATCCGATTTCAGACATTAATTTTTACTTTTCTTTAAAAATATTTATTGTTATTATGTATACAGATCACTGATATTTGACTTTTCTAGATGTGGTGACATTTTTAAAATGCTTGAGATAGGTATCTATAGACAGTTTTATTTTGCTAGTTTTTTACGTGACTATTATTTAGTAGATACTCTTTAGATAAAATTAATAGTCTAAACTGAAGTATTTGAAAATTTATCAAGTGGTCATTATAATCCAAAATTTTTAAAAAAATATTGAGTTCAATGTAGTGCCTATTTATTTTTGTTTCTATAAAAAGTTTTATATCTCATTTTGACAAAAATCGTAAATATTATATGGCCTTTCAAAACATGTGTAACCGAAATTCACTCCGAATCGTCTTTTGTACCGATAAATATAAATTAAATACCTCTCTATATCCTATCCTCTTAAAATTCTCATCTATAAGGTTATAACAGTGGCCCACCCATCGTACGATGTCTGTTTACCCTTTTTGTTATTATAATGTTACAATTCAAATTTCTAGTTATTTTCATAGTTATCATAAATATTATTAAAAATATTACCAAATAAATTGTTAATTTATTAACATTTAAAATTGTTCCTGTTTCTTTGTAAATATAGTACCTATTTATATAGTTCTTATAATTTGTATTATAATTTATAATTATAATTTGTTTATGATTACTAGATATGACTACATATTATTATAGCTGACATTTCAAAACTTGAGATCTGTATTAGATTAATATAGAAACGACAAACAAACCTTGTTTCCAAACAGTTGTTCTTTTAAGTAATTATACTTTAGTAATAATAAACACTATAAAATAAATAAATAAATAAAAAAAATATATTTTAAATTAAGTAGGTAACCAATTGTAACAATTTAGTTACACATTAGGCAACACATATAACACTCGCCGTACAACTCCAAAGATATCACCCAACAAACAAGAATACCGTAGCAGCGTCATGAGTCCCCACCCCGAAAAATCTGCTGCCGCACAAATCGGCCGCCGCCACGCGAAAACCGAAAGAGGTTAGGTTAGGATAGGTTAAGACGCTGCATTTAAAAAGGCAAGACCCCGCCGACTGATTATCAGTGTAGCCGACCGAGTCCAAAGTCTCGCAGTCATAGCAGCAACCGTTCCTCGCCAAACAGTTACCACAGCACGCTGCCACCTAGCAGCCGGACATCGCTTTCCCAATGAATGACTCAAGTAAGCATTTACCGCCGCCTCACAGTTTTGCCGTATTTATATACGCGCTCCGTGATGAATCAACCGCCTTCCTCATCTATCACCTTATGCGTATAACCCATATTTTGGTGAAGACTTCCCCAAGTTCGTTTATGATACGATAAATAATATTTGCACAATTAATAATACATAATACATATTTTGTTTTTAAATACAAATCGAAATAATTTTATTTAGAAAATCGTATAGTATATAAGTTCTAACTTTTTAAGTTCCGTCGAGTCATTGTTATAATGAGTAATCGAATTTGTTGTGTGTTTCACTATACCAGCATTACTATGAATTATTTCATCCGGACTAGCACAAATCCAGGGTCTTACAGAAACAATAACTAATCTACATTTCAATGATAGATGACCTTAAAGTGAACATAACCCAGGCCATCGCTCAAATTCAACCGGATCTATGCGGCAGAGTCATTGAAAATTGGACCNCCGTGGCGGACATTTAAACAATATTATATTCAAAACATAATTGGCATACTTAGAACTTTAAAATAAAAAAAAAATTTCACTAATACCTCGCACATAGCTTGTTTTATTTCATTTCAACATCGACCCGCTCTTATTGAAAAACCCTTTATAATCGAACTCCACTCAGACTCATTTTTTGTTAGCAATGATTAATCTTTATGTATAAATATATAAATGTATAAATATACGTTCAATTTTTTCTCTATCTTCACAACTTCTTATCTGCAATAGTGTCTCACCTATCGTACGAAGTATGCCCGTTTGTTTTTTTTTTAAATTAACATTTATTCCCCCCTCTCTGATATATCTTTTTTATCAGGTCTTCTTTATACATAATAGTTATCTGTTTAGTTATTCTTATAATAGTATACCACTTTATTATTATCAAAAAGAAAATAGTCTAAAATCCTTGATCAACTGTAATTCGTATTTTTAGTAAATAATATCATTTGAAATTTGGATCAATCCTTAACCGTTCATTTTCGAGGGATTGTATTGTAGCTTCTCTTTCGGCCAATTCCATTTTCTCATTGTTTATTTCCTCTTTAAGGATTTGATTTAGTTTCTCCGCGACCATTTTTTCAAATTCATATTTTACATGCAGCTCATGTATCACTGTATGAAGCTTACTGATATCTTTTTCCTCCTTGTCTGTTTTAATGATGGCATTCTAAAGTCATCAAACACAAACATATCATTCAATTAAAATTGTTTTTTATATGTTATATGGTATCTAAACACGTATAATATGGATTTTAAAATTACTACAAACGAACTAGAATTGTTTGAATAAATACTTATACAATTTACCTTAAGTCGTTTCTGTGCTAAATCAATTTCTTTTGTTATTGCTTTTAAAAATTTATTGTCACTATCTTCACCATCATTTTCAGCTATTGCCCGATTTACGAATATAAGCTTTTCAATCTCGTCGTATTCTTTTAGCACGTGCGAAACTCTTTCCCATTCTTTTCTCGCCAATTGATAAGACCGTAACCCTTGCATTATCGTGTCTTTTATATCTTGATACATTTCGCCAGTCACGTTGTCTAATTTATTTTTTAATAGCATCAACAAACGTTTTTTTTCATTTATTATCACTAGTTTAAACCTAAAATCACGTAAGTAGGAATTGAATATGGTTTTCTAAAAAACTAAGAAATTGATTATAAATAATAATACAATTTATAATTTTACATCTAATTATAAGAAAATTTCTCTCAAACAACTTGTTAAAATGTTAAAAATGTTATTAACGTCTATACTTACATATCTATCTCGTTTGGAGTGAACTGCATCTTAAGAATATCTATAGACTTTTTGTTCATAGTCCCTTCCAGTGCTTCCTGTAATGTAATTACGGAAGCAAAGCTCGGACAATTAGCGCGATTTTTTAACTGTATGGTAGTCATTCCTACTGTCTTTTTGACTTCTTCAATCATATTTCGTCTATCTTCGATCTTTAAAGGTACAAAATATATAAAAGTAGAATTTGTATTTTAAAACATATAATAAATAATGAGCTTCTAAGTAATTCTCAGACGAAAATAGGTTAAGTTAACTCCACTGTAACGACTGCAGCGAGAAATTGGTGAGGAAGTGACTCGACGTAGAGGAAATTTGAAAAAGAATTCAGTACAAAATTCAACAGCCCAAGGATCTACCTACACTGAGTTAATGTGTTGAAGACAATTACCGGGATAGAATACGAGCGATTTCGTATCACAAAAGCACCTATGTTGGAGGTTGGCAACCGGCATCGACAAAGTGCTCGCAATGTAAACAATCAAAGAACTTTTGAGAAATTTTCCCTAGGTAAGGAATTTGGAAAAAACACGAAAAACAAACCCCAAAGAGAAATTCAAAGAACACTATAAATAGTATTCAAAATAACGGAACATTTAGAAAACTACTTAAAAAAAAGTTTTTTTTTATTGGTTCATGAAAAATTGAAAAATAAAGATCCAAAAAGAGTAATAATAAATAAGGAATACATAAATATAAGAAGCAGGGAGGTTTCTATTGTATCTCCGTAACTTTTTGGATTCTGAGTGGAGCGAAGAAGCTTATGGTTTTAAGATGAAGTTTATTATTGTTTTTAACTTTTTTACCAAAAATATTGCTCCGATATACAAATATAGTACTTTTCTGAAAGGAAATCTTACTGAAGTAATATAATATTTTTTGATTAGCCCAGCTATTTTTATAATGAATTACTGCATCATAATTATCGAAATTATTGTTACCGGTAAAACCGAAAAAAACGGTATTAACACCAAATACCGAATACTGGTATCAAAAATTCAAATACCGCCAGCCCTGACCTAACCTCGTTAACTACGCCATGTCACCACATAGTTAATTGCGATAATTACTTTCCCCACCCGCAGAACTGCGATGGCCGACCGGTGTACTATCTTATTCATCTTATTGATTTTGCTGTGCTCGTTAAGTTAAATGTTATGTTCAACAGTTATCTGATTAACGTTATTCAATAAAAGCGAATATTTTAATATTAAAATAAACTTATTAGTTTCCAAACGAATTACGTTATTCTTTAACGGTACCTTTTTTTCCTACAACACTAACAAAGACGTGCCAAAACTCACTTAAGAGTATCGTGTATAAAGTAAATTAACTAAATACACGAATACATAAAATACACTAATAGACAAATTTGGAAGATCTAAATAAGTTAGTACGATTTTTTAAAATTCTACTCGTAGATATTAAAAATCATACTTCATTAATGACGGCTTTAATTCGTTTCTTCAATGCCGATAATAAATTAATCCGTCGGAATGCCAAAGGGTTACGTATATTCTCGGATAATAATTTTTCCGTGAGAAAAATAATCAATTTTTCCACATAAGGGTCCCGACAACCAGACGATAATTCATCCACAAGCATCTCCTGTTCTACAGTATTATACAACATACGATAAAATTCACCAGTGTGTTCTCTGATTTCAAGTATTTTTCGACGAGATAGCATATCCCACACTTCATTAACTAAACTGTTTAATCCATCAGTTGCTTGGTCGTCTAAATTAATATCAAATCCTTGGGAACCGGCTGAACTTACTGGTAGATTTTGAAGTTTAGGTGCTGGACTTTTACTGTAAAAAAAAAAAATAATAAAATTAATCCATATCTAAATTCTGATTTCTGACAATATACATAAACATCCTCCACATATAAATAAATAAGGGATATAAACTACTCAGAAGCTAAAATAAAATATGAAATCATTTTCTTTAAACTAAATATATAAAATATCTAATTTTATTATACGATTTAAACCCAACCTTTGTTAGTAAATCATAAAATTATATTTATAAAAAAAAAAAATATTTAACATTTTGAATTTTAAAGCTTAAATCTTTTTTTTAAGTTTGGTTTAGAATGTTGAAATATTTTCGTTATTTGAGTTGTTTTGGGTTCGAATGAAAAACATTCTTTATTCGGTTCGAGTTCATTAATTTAAAGAAAAATTTGAACCAATTTATAATTTCACAGTTGAATACAAAAAACGCATAATAATTTTATATTTTACAGTTTCAATAGGAATTTATTTAAAAATTATGATTTAGCGTTAAAATATTAAATATTTGTTATGCATTTATTACATAAATTATTATTATATATATTTACATAGTTTCTCCTTGAGCATTTACCCACAATGGACTTGCACTATGTCCAAAAGAAACCGCAACATAACCAAATAACGTGGAACCGTTTTCTATACTCTGAATAGCAATATATGTTCGTTCATCTGATGAAATGTGATTTAATTCATCTAACGATATTTCTCTGTTGAATATTTCATGAGTTTTTTCCATCTTGTTTTGTCTTTTTGGCTCTCTGGAGTATTCAATATTTTCGTAGTTTTCCAATGACTCACTTGTAGGCATTTTCATAAACGGTTTTGCTAGTTTTCTGTCAGTTAAATTTATTATTAACTGTGCCAAGTACATGTTGCGTTTAATCGCTGTAACTCTGGTAGGATGGGGATCTTCAGTCAATTTAGCGATCCAAGCCTAAACACATAATAACAATTTTTGGAACAATTGCCGAGGGATTTTTCGATTTTTTTGTTTTTTTGAATATAGGTAAATTAAACGTTTTAAAAATAATGGCGCAAACGAAAATTAGGAAAATGTAATAATTTCAAAATTGTCATTTATGGTTATAGTTAAATGGTATACAATCGCAATAAAATTATATTGTAGCGCAATAGTCCATGTCGTGTATGGAAGCTTGCAGTACCAGGTGAGAACCCTCGGAATTGATTAACATAATTTTTGCACTTTTTTTTTCAAAAATAATTCTCGATTTTTTGTGAAAAACCACATCGGGTAGGTTATAGACAATAGAAAAAGTGAAATGCATTTTGGGTGCACCTGGAGATCTAGTGGGGTCACTTTCTCGCTGCACAAGCTCGGACTGTTTTTATCGAAAATAACCCTCGATTTGTCGTACAAAACCACGTCGGTTAGGTAACACCCGAAAATAACGAACAATTATATTTACAATATTTATATTTGCCCATCTGATATTTCCTATCACATAATAACTACTATTATAAACTAAACGTTTTCAGAGCTTTAAGTTTAAGGTGGTCGGCAGTACTTAATTATAATTATATTTAATCTGTAATGTTATGCTCACACAATATAATATTATAACTAAAGACCGGATTTTGCATGAAATGCATCTTGCTATTTTCAACATCATGTACATGCAGTTAATGAGTGTCTAAAAATCATTACCTAACTAATTAAGTATTAAAATTTTATGCTGCATATTTTTGCATATTCTGACATAAGTGAATATTCTGCATATTCTTGCATATTTTAACAAAAATTCATGTCGAACAAATACAAAAAGATAATAGGTACGTTAATATAACAAATATTTTACGTTACAAAGAATATTCGGACGCTAAAAATAGGTTAACTAAACTTACATAGTTGAAACGGGGTTTACTTGTTTTATCAAGATTATTATTTCTAGATATAATTTTATCAACAAGATTAGGTTTATACAATTTCCTGCTATATTTATACCGAAACAATTTATTGTTAGTACGAATTACGCCGTTGTCAAGTTAATGTATTGAGTTCGCGTGTTTTTTCGCCATCCTTTTGTAATTTACTGATTAATTTTGAATTAATTAAAATGCCTAAAACTCCAAATTCAAAACCGGCGTTAATTAGAAAGTATATTGGGTCGTACAACAATTCTGGTGAGGTTTTCAAAATTTTAAATAGTTCAACTATTTTCTGTCAACATTGTGAAAAACCGATAATAGTTGAAAAAAATTTTCAAATTGATCAGCATGCTAAGTTTTTTTTACATCAAAAATGTTTAAAAGAATCTTCTAAACAAACTTTTATTCAATCAACGTCCATAGAAAATCAATCAAAATTTTTCAAAGAACTCCGTAATACTATAATTTCTTCAAATATACCTTTATATAAATTACAAAATACAAACTTTAAATCTTTTTTGGAAAAGTACACAAATAAAATTATCAGATGAAAGTACGTTAANCGTTGTTGGCAAATTGAATGCCGATCTGCCTTCTAAATCGTATCTTTTAACATCAAAAGTTCTCGAAAAAACCAATAATTCAACTATAGAACCATTTGTAAACAATTCATTAACACTATTGTGGCCGAAGGTAGCAATGATGACAAAGTTTTGTTGATGTTATCAATTTAATTAATAATGGAAAAAAGGTTTTTTCAATAGCTCCGTATAGAATTCAGTTATATGAAATATTGCCAAACACTCCTTTATCACCACAGCCTATAATTACCCGTTGGGGTGCTTAGCTAGAGTCAGCCTTTTATTATGCAGATCTTTTTGAAGAGTTTAAAAATGTAATTGAAAACTTAGATGATAAAATAAAAAACATTACAAATTATAAATCAATTTTAAATAAATTAAATGTAAAACATGATCTTGCTTACATTAAAGCACATTTTCCACGTATCGTTAAAAGGATCAAAGAGCTTTAAAATTCTAATTTGGCACTTGTAGACTCGTTAAACATTTTAAAACAAGTGCAAAATTCTATCAATGAACTTCCTACGAGCGCAAATAGTACAATAATTAAAACAAAATTTAAATATGTTTTCGATAAAAATAAAAGACTAATGGTTTGAAAAGAAATTTCAAAAATACTTCAAGGTGACAATGCTAACTTCAAAGATTTGTCTGTTCCAAATTATTCACCGGATGTATTAGCTAATTTTAAATATGCACTAATAACCAGTGTTGACGTTGAACGCAGTTTTTCTTCTTACAAGTACATCCTTACAGATCGTCGTCATAATTTTACAGAAATAAACATGGAACGCACTTTGATAACTTATTGTTTTTCCAATTAACATGCCTACTACATTAAATTTGTTGTTATTTTTCCCCGTTATATATCAATATCTACTTCTTTACTTTTTTTGTTTATGGAAATTTTAATAAAATTAATAATTAATTATCACTGCAAAATTTAAAATAAATTTAAATTTTATTATGCATGTTTTGCTTTTTTCTTGCGTATCTTGCCTTTTTTTAATGCACGTTTGCATATATATTTTACAATTTAAAATGCATACAGATCCATTCTTTACTTATCACATACTTCTAAGATTAGGTTGGGTAAAAACGGTATCATAATAAACGAATAATATAATATGATATTATTTTAAAAAATATGTTATAAAATGTTAAATTGAACTATTTTACATAATTTATAAAAATAATAAAATTATAGTCAAGGAAAATATGATTTTATTAAAAAAAAGACTGTTTTATAATTTGTAAAAAAAATTACGTTTTATTTATCTCATGGTATAATAGGATTGTAGGTAAATCTATAATAATACCTGTTGTTAATTTGTTTTTTTCTATTATAAAAACTTATATTGGATTTGTATATATTGTTATAAATTTGATTGTTACGTATATGAGAACTATTATTAAAACCATAATTTAAAAAAAGAAAATTACTTGTTAATTGTTACTGATAGAAATACTTATACCTAGCTATGACATGGTTATTACTTGACCTTCTCATAGGGATAATCAATATTTATACCTTTACTGCCCAGCCTACTTCTAGAATTATTTGACTTAAATATACAAGTAAATTCTTAAAAACTTAAGTTATTGTTTTGAAACTTTATAAATATGGTATTTACACCTTATCTGACCATGATAAAAAAATCGATAGATTTTTTTGCCGAAAAAAATAAGTCTGGAATCGAAAGGGTTAAGGAATATCCTGTGGTGACACTAACTTTGGTTTTTCTAAATGGAACTTACATATTCTAATACAAATCATAAGTTAGATGATTTTTCTAAAAATGTTAACACATTGTAATTAAAATTTAAAAGAACAATTTCTGAGTTATTCTACTTGGAAATACTAAGGATAACAGGCTGTATAAGATTTGAAAACTGACCATTTCATAGGAGTTATGTATAGGCAATTTCTTGATGGATTGACACAACTCTGAAACAATGCGGTGTAGTATGCCTACTAATTAAATAAGAAATTGACCATACATAACTCCTATGAAATGGTCGGTTTTCAAATTTCACATAGCCTGTTATATTAATAGAAAATTCAGCTTTATTTGCCAATACTGTAATTTGTTGAGCAAAATTTCTTAAATAATGATTTCGACATTCGATTTTTTTCTATAAAAAATCTAATCCATATGGCAATACTTCGTTTAATTTGTTTAACACACTACTGTCTTCGTTTACTATAAAAGTATATAAAATAAAAAATAATCAACAATTTTGTTTTAGAATATAATATCTAATTTACCTATTAATTTATTATATTTAAGACAATGCATTTCAATACTACGGGAAAAAAATGCAATCACTCCATCTGCTTCTATTGCAGTTAAGGCTTTCTTCCATTAAAAAAAAAAAAATATTCAGGTTAGGATGCTTTCTCATTTTGAGTTGATGCTCTTTGACAAATAACACAGTATCTATTTTTTTATTTTTTCAAACAAAACTTTCCTAGTTATTTTCCCAATAATAGTGGCCTGCTTAATATTATTTTAATACAATTCCAAATTAAATAATATTATAGAACTATACAGTTTTTGATAATAAAATGAAGAATACCTTAATAAAGGCGAACATTTTTCATACCATTCCTGCTAGAGCATTATTCTTGGGCTTATAACTTCGATTTGACCATTGGTCATCAGCGATTACAGTATACACACAGGTATAATCATCCAACTCGCCGTTTTCCAATGACATCTATCGATTTTCATCTCCAGCCTTTTGCATTTTACTTTTTCACTCCATACAGTTTGTTTTACTACCAAATTAATACAATTTTTCTTCTATGAATAAATATATATGCATTCAATTTGTCTATAATATTGTACCTATTTTTCCGTTCTTCTGGTTTTCCCATAGTTTTCCTCTGGTTTTTTTAATATATTGAGAAAACTCCTGAGAAAATCAAAAAATGACCTTAAAGTACCACTCCAGAAAATTTTCTTTTCAGAAAAAATACTACGCTTATAAATCAGAGCAAAATATATTTCTGGTAAAAAATGTGTTCAAAGATAAAAAAAAAAAAAAAATTGACATTATTGTAAAACCTTAAGCCTCTTCGCTTCACTCGGAATCTAAAAATCAAAACAATTAAAATGTCCGAATAAATTAATAAAAGCTCAGACTAATAGTTAACAAGTATGGAATATTATTTATGAGGTAGTAGGAAAATCAAACAAAAATAAAATATGTGATATAAATAATTTTAAAATATATGGTTCACTGAATCTAAATCAGAAATTTATAATGAGCTAAATCAATTTTTTATTAATGTTACGAATGGCTTAGAAATAGAACACATAAATAATGATACAACTGATACAAGTGATAGTATATTTTTCAAACCAATCAATTGTGAGGAAATTATATTATACCTTAATAAATCAAAAACTATAATTTTTTTTATGAAAATGAATTATCTATATACATACTAAAAGAAACTTCTAAGTTTATTTCTTTATTGTTCAATATTTTATAAAATCTCTATTAACTGGTATATATCCATCTAATCATTAATTTAAATTAAGTAATAAACTGACACGTGATAATTCTAGACTGATATCCATATCTTTAATTTTATCTAAAATATTTGAAAAGCAGATTACTTGATTTTTTAAATAAAACATTTTTCTTAGATCTGGACTATCTACTATAGATGTACTTTTAAATATGGACAACTTTATTAGGAAAAATATTGACAACAATAATAAGGTGTTAAGCGTTTTTTTAAATGTTCAGAAAACTTTCGATTGTGTTGATCATAAACTATTAATTATTGAATTAGAACGCACAGGTATTCGTGGTATACCTAATATCTTGCTAAAATTCTTCTTAAGAGAACGTTATACTCAAATCTGTTCGCGTGCATTGCTGTGTTTTATCTAGATAGGTATATTTTTATCTTTCATTTTTATCCAGATAAATGGGAATTATGTTATCTGAGATAAATCAATAACTCATCTAGATAAATTTATCTAAATAAAATTTAATATTTTATTATTTATGTAACAAAATATGTTAACTAGGTAGGAATTTTTACTTTCCGATTACAACATATTGAATTTATATTTATCATTATTATTATTATTTATTACATTGTAAACCAGGCATGGCCACTCCCTCCCTCCATTGACCGTATCAAAATGTGTTATTTAGGTATATATTAAATTGCAATTGATTTGTGTTATCCTATCTTAATATAATTATTGTTATATTATTATTCAGTCACAAATTTAATCTTCGTTTTTTATTTGTAAAACATAAATGAATAAATTGCTGATAACTATATTATTATTGTGACGATTGAGCGACGACGACCGTCAACTGCCAGCCGGCGTGTGGTGGCTCATGGGTTTTTGTCCTAAAAATATTTGTCCATATTCGTCTGAAATACATTTATATTTACTGCTTATCTTTGTTATATGATTTAAATTTTTCAACTTAAACATTTTAAATTGCACAGTTTATGAAAATAAAAGTATTTATTAAAAAATAAGTAATTATTGCATTAAGTACTATTGCATGTATTTAAAAAAATATAAAATACACAAATGTAGGCTTTTTTATGTCTAGCTTTTTTCATTTTCGTATAATATAATTTCTAACCATTTATAGTCCTATACACGAACCATTATTTTTATTATAAATTACTAGCAGTCCTGCGCCCGGCGTTTCGGTGTTCAGTTTTTTTATGTCCCGTCATATACCTACGCCATTAGCGTGAAAAAAATACTTAACTGTTATATAACTGTGTCCGGGCGCAGCCGACACTTTGCCTGCGCTCGTTTTTCGTTATTGTATTATTGTATTGTCGTTGTTGTCATCCGACCGTCGTGCTTTTCGGAGGCACATCATAATTGTCGTTATCATTAAATGATAAATGTTGTTCGTTATTTTTTCCGTACCTATATTTAATGAGATTACTAATTTTTTTTTGTCTTGCATTCAGTCAGTGTACTCTTTACAATAAATATATCATTTTTTCGTAACTTTTAACTCGTGAGGTTTTTATTAATTTCGCACCTATACATTCTTCTCCTCACCGCATTGTGCCAACTGGTACCAGGACGAGTGCAGTCCTCCAATCAACAACCGCAATCCGTTCACGTGCTGACCGCCCAGGTATCCACTGCCGTAAAAGTCTCATCTTCCATCATCCTCGGACCCGAACTGGATAATGGTTGTATATTTGTTTGTTAGTTTTAAGTAGTTGTAAGTGATTTGCATTGTGGCAATCAAAGAAGTCCTCCGTGCTACGGAATAGTATAATTAAGTTCTCTTCTTCGCTGTCATCCCTGGTTATCCAGCCACATCGCTAGTTTCGTTGTCGTTGTGGTCATTGTGGTTGTTGCTTGTATCTTACTCAGACGCCTTGGTCGCTCAGTGGGTACGAGAAATAGCTGAGTGTATTGGGATGCCTACACCTTGACAAGATTGATAAGTTGCCTACCCACCAAGTGGAAAGGTAAAGGTGATCGGTCCTTTCGAACCAGTCTGATTCTTCGATCATAAATCATTTCTGGCTCTATCACTAATTAAACAATTTAAGTACCAATTTATGGATTAAAATATTAAATGACGTGTTAATATAAATATTATTCAATAATATTATAATTTGTGAAAATAATATTTTATGCGTCAAAAAATTGGTAGTTGGTATGGGGGGCTAGGCCCTCGACGACTTAGGTTTAATACCATGTAAAGGTAGATGGGTATAAATTAATGTTTATCACCACACGTCCAAAAATCAGTTCGGTGCCACTGAGTGTAACTTGAACTTAGATAATTAGATTAAATTATAAAAGTCCGATGAGCATAAAAAAAAAAAGGTCATCAGTAGGATATCCATTTGCTTTTTTTGTGGGTTATTAGATTTATTAGCAAGTAAGCTAAAAATCAAAACAATGAAAAACATATAAAAAAATACGATTATATTCAATAAAATATTTTTCTTAAGAAAGAATTCAATGGATATAGTTGATTGCATTAATATATTCAGGCCCATTATATTCTATAAAATATTTTTCTTAAGAAAGAATTCAATGGATATAAAAAAAATACGATTATATTCTATAAAATATTTTTCTTAAGAAAGAATTCAATGGATATGGTTGATTGCATTAATATATTCAGGCCCACCGTTAGGGTACAAGCAAACCATCCGTTTCTTTAGGGAGGTATAACATTTTAAAGAAATCGAACAGCAAAATTAAATTAATAATACATACTCGTCAAAAATAACGGCAATAAAATGTTCGCTTTAGGACGGAAAATATCTTATGGCGGGTCTGAATATACCTACCCGTAAAAAGTGTCAATTCGACAATTCCGACTAATACGTTCCAGAGTTAGTGTTCTTGTTTCGTTTCGATTATATAATATTGCTGAAAATTAAACATTCGGTGACAAAACATTTGAAAAGTTTCGTGTTTGAAACAGTCTGTACAGATACATTTAAGCCATTAGAACTATTCTTTTTTGTAAGTTATGTGAGGTGAAGGTTAACAGTAACAAATAATTAGTTGTTGTAACTCACACTGAAAAACGTTAACGAACAGTTATTTGGAAAAAAGAAAATAACAAAAATATTAAAGTTTCCGTACAGCTAGTAACTAATACTTCAAAAATGTCTATCTATATATATATATTATACTAATAGAAATTTTGGTTTACGTAAACAAGAATCACGATAACGGCGTTAAAAAAATAAATAAATAAATATTTATTTTATGTACAACTTTATATTACAATAGACGAACAAAATTAGAATAAAATATATACCTAATATTCTAATACGGTATAAAATGGTGTCTGGTGACACGTGTGCGTGCGTATAATATAATATCATAATGACGGATTATAGTAACCTGGCTGAGTTTTATAATATGACGTGTCCGCTGAAAATTGTCTGAATTGAATATTATAATCAGGTCTCGGATACGTATTTATACATAGCAATAAAAAGTATCGAAATGAGCCCAATAATAACAATTAAAAACAAAAAATAACAAAATATATAATTATTGAATAATTACCCTTAAAAACATACAAAAATAACAAAGAAACATTGATTTTTATTTATTATATTGCATTAACAAATTGTTAGTAAATTAAAGGAATTTAATGAAATGGAGATGTGTATAATATGTTTCTTATCGATTCATATAATATACATTTTTAATTGCGCTTGGAATTCCGAAAAGCAAATAAATAAACTACCTTAAATGCGTTTAAAATTTAAAAATAAAGAAATACAAATTCAGTAAAAATTGACAATTTAAAAATACGAGTACAAAAAAGACGCCCTAGAGGAGCAGCCACTGTTATAGGTAATTTGATTTATACAATAATAAACCATTGATTTCGAAAAAACGATTCTAAGCGCAGTTCAGTTGATAGTGATGCTTCATCAACAATATATATGGTAAAATAATTAAATAGACATTATATAATTTCTTTGATAATATTTGTTTAAAGTTTTATCGATTTTCCTAGTTTTCCTGGTTTTTCCGTGGTTTTTTCCAGTTTTTCACATTTTCTGAGAAAACTTCTGAGAAATCAGAAAACCGACCGAAAATTTCCTTTTAGAAAAATTCTTAACATTAAAATTTGGAGCAAAATTGCTGGTAGAAAAGTTGTCCACAGGAGAAAAAAAATCGTAATATCATTTTACATTTTTTGTTGTAATTCAGTTAAAA